TCCAGGTGAACAAAGCACCCAAGATGCGCCACCGTACTTACAGAGCTCGTGGCCGGATTAACCTATCCATGAACTCCCCCTGCCATATTGAGATGATCCTTACTGAAAAGGAACGAATTGTTGCTAAACCAGAGGAGGAAGCTGCACAGAAGAAAAAGATATCCCAGAAGAAACTGAAGAAACAAAAACCTATGGCATGGGAATAAATTAAGCATAAAATAAATACAAATAAAATTAATGTTGTCTATTAAAAAAAAAACAAGAGGGAAAATTTTGAGGGGGATTCATGGCAATACGCCTTTTACTGTGAAACTATTTGAAGGACATTCAAACACACACTGTATTTTTTTTTTAATCATATTGCTTAGGTTGCTTTACTTTACTTTAAAATATCCAGAAATATCCACCTGGGTGGTGGCTGCACATATCCTTTGAGTTAGCTACTGACCAGTCTACAAGCGCTAGGTACTGGGTCACGGGGCGGAGTCACGGGGTCCTGGCCAGAGAGAGGTAGCTGTGGCCTCTGCTCCACACAGCCGCCAACATGGAGCAGTGTGAGAAAGGCACTAACTTGAAGCCAGGAGATCAGGTTCTGTTCTGGTTCTTCCCTAAGTCCAGCAGCAGACACTTGGCATCACTCTGAAGATTGTAAACAAGTTTCATAGGCACAGTCTTTCTTGATCTTCAGAATGACTTCATGAGTGGAGGTTAAGCTCCACTTTACAGAGGAGGCCACTGGGATTGAGTGACTCTCCCAAAGCCACGAACAAAGAAGTGGTCGCAGCACGACAGGTAGTTCCTCTGTTTCAGAAGCGTATGTTCCTCAGCTGTGCACCGCAGCGAGTCTCGATTTTCTGAACCTTAGGCTTCATTCACCAAGAATCAGGTGATGTTAAAGGGAACCAAAAGCTTCTGGAGAAGTATGGCACACTCGCAGCAAGGGAGAGCCAGGTGCTGAGGGCGGGAGTTGCTGCCTCCATGGGCCTCCCTTCCCATTTTTTGGTCTCATTTCTGCAAGGGCAGCTAAACATGAGAAAGAGATGTCTCCAAATATTTTCAGATGTCGTCTTAGCAAGTGAGGTCTGTTTAAGGCAACAGTGAGCATCCAATGGCCAGCTGCCTTTTGATGGGGAGGGAGCTGAAGCGGGGTAGTTTTTGACTTCTGATCTGGCCAGGATTCATATGATGGTGTTCCCTTAGAACACGAGAAAGGAGCTGCCCTCTCCTGTCATCTCCCTGTTTTTTCCTCCTTGTTACTTTTTCTTCTCATCATCCCCCAGAGGCCCAAGAGCTAGTGGAGATCAGAAGCTAAATTGCAAAACCTTGCCTTGCTCTCCTATTGGCTCAATAGGAGTTAAGCAACTAACACTTGTAATCCTATAGGTTGATTGTCATTTGACCCATCGCCACCCACGCTGCGATTTTGCCATTATCCTTGACAAATAGCCAAAACATACATCTCCAGTCCTGCCAGGACCAAGGGATGGAGATTCAGGAAGAAGATTTCAGGCAGGGGAGCTTAGGATCAGCTCCTGCTCACCAACCCAGTCCCAAGAACCTCTCCAAGCACTTGCTGCCCCGTATCCAAAGGACAAGAAAGCACACACATGTCGTGGCTCTCTCCTTGTGGGAATCAAGAAGTGGAATGTCTCAGGACTGAGGGCAAGCTTGGGGTTGCTCAGTCTGAGTCCATTTCACAGGTGATAAGGCCAGTGACCAGAGGATTAGGGTGAAATGCCCAGGCCAGTGAACCGCGGCTCACCGGCAAGCTTTTGTGAAATGGGCTTCAGCTACCCTGGGCATCTGAGTGTTTCCATGTATTTCTGGGAAGCTTGGGAGGAGGTCTGAGGAAGGCAAAGTAGAGCCAAGTGTGATGGGCAGGGTTTACAGGACTTCCTTAGCACAGAGAGCTGTCAATTCTCCATGTGGTTATGTATGTATTTATAGAGTTTGTAAAAAGAAGTCTGAAAGTTCTTCAGCTAACTTCTCCTTTACTAATTTCCCTTGGAAAGAACACTGTAAATCAAAATCATGTGGGAATGGGGAATGCCAACACCCTAGTCACCACACACCTTCCCTCTTGGCCCAGCGCTTTCCTGCCGTGTTGACATTTACGTTCCTCAGCATGTGGCCCATGCTCATTTCCCACCATCTCACCTTTATTTTTTCTGGTTCTCTGCAGTATCCTTTCATCCCTTTTTCTTTTATTGTCCTTTCAAAATGACTGTATCATTAATCATCACAAAATACTCCAGAAGCACACTATTGTGCCTATTTTTCAGATGAGACATCAGAGGCTATGAAAGTTATTTCTAGGTCCCTCGGACCTTGGGCAGAGTGACTCCCTGTGGCTGTAGCCACATCCCCTGACAATGCTACCTGTTCTCTTTGATCCTTCCAGTGCCTAACTTTGGCTTGTGTTCTTGGAGAAGGAAATTTTATCTGGCTGTCTCTGTGGAAGAATCAGCTCAAATACATATTTACTAAATACTTCTCTGCTACAGAGGACAGCATCAGTTTGGTGCAAAGAGAACATTAGCTTTGGAAACTCAATTGCTGTTTCCCCCCTTTTTTTTGGCAGTGGAAATTAAACCCAGTGTTATGGTTGGTATCTAGATGCCTCCCCTGCAAAGCCCCATGTAGTCACCTGGGCGAGCTTCTAGAGTTTGTGATTCATTCAGGATCCAATGCTGAGATTAAGGGTGTGAGCGCTGCACCCTCACTGAGGCAGATAGCCTGAAAGCAATATAAGGAAAGGAGAGGCTGCCTCTGCCTCTACTGAATCTGCTGCTCTTCCCTTTTTGCTCTTGTTGTTTTCCACCACCATAAACTATTGCCCTCTGTCATGTGCCACTTTGCCTTGGAGCCAGCTGACTGGCTGACTGTGTGCACAGGCAGATGCGTGTGCACTGACTGGCTGAAACCTCCATCAACTGTGAGCTAAAAATTTGGGGGTCAGGTATTTTGTCCCAGCGAAGAGAGAAAACTAACCAAGACACCCAGGATCCTTGTAATGAGCTACATCTCACCCTGACCCCTTTTTATTTTTGAGACAGAGTCTCATTCAGTCACTAACTTGGCCAGGCTGGAGTCCAACTTGTCATCCTCCTGCCACAGCCTCCTAAAGTGCTGGGTCTGCTCTGCCTTTTGATGACCACGTCTTACCCACGGAACCTGATCACTCTGAGTCTAACTTTCTTACCTGTGAAACAGGTAAGAACGGGATAAGAATACTTGTCCTATAGCCTTATGAAGAGATGGTATGAAAAAGCCACCTTGGGTAGAGTAGGAGCATCAATGGTGAGTATGACTATAATTACTTGGCATTTTATTGCTCATTTTAAAGCACCGCAGTAATTCCATGAGTTCGATTCCCTTGCCTGTCATACAGTTGAAAAGAACATGGTTCAGAAAGTGCATGCACAGCACAAGTGGCACAGCTACTAGGTCAAGCCCAGGATGTCCTTGTCCAGGGTCAGCACCCCTTGCACCGTCCTGCCTGCTGGGGGTGCTAGGACAGTGACCCTTTTGAGATGAGTGCCCAAACCACAACCCCAAACTCGTTTATTTATCACACAGTGCCAACACTACAATTAGTCTTAAATACTGAGGTTTTATGTTTAGAAAAAAATTTATGTATTAACACCTTTTGTCTTACAAGAGAAACAAATCACACCCCACAGGTTCACCACAATTGCCCTCCGACAAGCTCTGACTCCTCTCAGTCGTGGTGGGGTTCTATGTGACTGCTCACAGACTCCTCCAGCAGGGCAGAAGAGGCCCTTCTGACAGAGTTTGACCCTTGTACCTTCTTGCACAGAGTTCAGATTTCACATGGATACTGGGGAGTTTTCACAGCCCCCATGTGTCCTCCCCCATCTCACCTTCTTTGAGTTCTGTTTCTGGTCATTTCAGTTTAGACATTTAAAACAGGTGCTATTTCAGGAGCACCTGCTTAGGGCCAGGTGCTGCTCATTATTCTCCTCCTCCCCCTCCCTCCCCCCTTCTCTCCTCCTCCACTCCTTTTTCTCCCTCTCCTTAATTTTGAGACAGGGTCCTGTTAAATTGCTAAACTACTCACTTTAGGCTCGAACCCATGACCCCTCTGCCTCAGCCTTCCTCAATGCTGGAATTACAAGTGTACAGCTCAAAGCCTGGCAGATCCGAGGACTTCTTAACAAGGCAAACTTCTGATGTATTCAGGGAGCGGTGAGTCTGCAGAGGGAGGGCACTCAGTGAGGCCAAGCAATGGGAGGATTCTGACGGCCTGTGTGGTTTTGACAAGTCACTCCAGGCATATGTGTGTGCACGCAACGAATAGCTGGGCTAAGCTCGTGAGTTAGACCATCGGAGCGACATTTCTCACCTATGGGCTTCCTGGTCCTTTCTGATAACACTGAGGATAGTAAAATCTTCAAGAGTATCGTGTCAATGACAGTTACACACAATTCCTTAGTCCTCTGTGACTAAATATCACAGGCCCACAGGAAGAATCTGTGTTCCAAGTAGATTGGTTGGGTTTGCTTGTGTTCAGAGAAAAAAATTCCTATGATTCCTTATATCAATACAACTGTTATTCATATTCAGCAAAAACATATAACACATTTAAATAAAATATATTTACAAATAAAGAAATGCTCATGCACATAATTTTGCTTTAAAGTTACGTGCAAAGGAAAGGAAGCTAGCAGAACATCTAATGCATGGCAGAACATAATCCTGTTATATCCAGCACCTCTTCTTTCAGCCCTTCCTTCCCAGGGCATTCAGAAGGGAAGAGAGTCCCCAGAGCTTCTATCCCCAATCTATCTAGTTTCTTCTAGATCAGAGATTCCCCCCCCCAATCTCTCTAGTTTCTTCTAAGACCAGACTGTTTTAAAAGAAGCAACACTAGATGAGGAGCAGAGCCTTGTGAGTCGAGCCAGAGGTCCAGGTGGACCCGAGAGTCCAGAGCTAGATCTCAGGATCAGGAAGGCAGTCAGGGATCTGACTGGACTCACCTGTCAGCTGGCAGAGGAGAGAGATTAGTATGAGCTGTGCTGGGGGAGCAGCCATACCGTTCTCTGGGTGTCAGGACTAAAATGAAACCTCACACTGCTTCCTCATCTGGAGTTTAAGTAAAAAAGATAAGGTAGTTAGCACATCAGATGACGTCATGGTATCCTTGTTTTGATTAGAGGGGAACAAATGAAAAGTGTAATTTATTTTCTGTTTCAGATAGAGTCATAGGTTTAGACTAAGAGTTGATCATGGTCACATTGTCTGGTTTTTCTATCACACGATATGATTTCTCAGAGACCCAGAAATAGAGAAAATAGGAAGTTAATTAGGGGCAGAAAGGGAGGCACTGGAGAGAATATTTATTGAGATTTTCTAAGTGTCAGAAGCTGTACATGCATTCATAATACTCCTTTGCATGAAATATTAGCGTAAGCCCTATTTTAGCGATGAGAAATTAGAGGCTTAAAGTATGTTACAAAAAATGAAGTTTCTTCTAACCAAAATAACATTATAAGAACAGAAATTAAATCATTGTGTAGGAGAAAATAATCACAGCATATATCTTATGAGGGTCTTAAATTTATATTATATAAAGTCTTACAAATAAAAAGATCCTTGGGCCAGAGAGATAGCTCAGTAGAATAAGCGCTTGCCTAGCAAGCACAAGGTCCTGAGTTCAGTCCCTGGTACTGCAAATAAATAAATAAATTAAACAAATAAAAACCTTAAACAGATAACTCAGTGGACAAAAAACTAAATATTTCATAACAAAGGGCATCCAAATGACTGATAAGGAGAAAATACTAATAAAATAAACCAAATACAACTAGTTTAAAGGTCAACAAAGTTGCAAAATAGAGTTCTAAAAAAAATTCTAATATTAACTTTCAAAAGGAAGAAAGGAAAAATGATGAAGCCAAAACAAGAACAAGCAAACAGAAAATGTAGTAAACTGGTAGCCCTAAACCTAACCACATCGGCAAGTATACAAAATGTAAATAAACCAAACACTCCAATTAAAAGGCAAAGATATTAAAATGGGTAAGAAATGAAAAAAGATTGAACTATCCTATTAACAAGAAGTGCGCTTTAAAGATACAGATGGGCTGGAAGTAAATGGACAGCCCTTCAGCCACTAAATAAGAGTTAGGTGTGATTCTACAAATACCAGATAAAGTTAGCTTTAGGATGAACAGAGAAATTTCATGAATAAGAGTAATAAATATGTATACTGTGTGATATGAAAAATTGGGGTTTTGTGTCTTGTTTCAGTACAGAGCTCCTAAAACTCTTGTAAATTCCCAGGTGATAAGAACATCTTTTGTTTTGATAAGATGACTTAATGAATTCCTGGATAGTTTCAGAACTTGGCATCTGAAAAAACAATCCCTGATTGGAAGCTTGAAACTTGTTCCCTCATCTCTCATCCTGTAGAAAGGGAAGAAAGGCTGGAGGTTGAAGTAATTATCAATTATGCTTGCTTCTTTTTCTGGGAAACACCAAATGGCGGTGATGCCGGTGCAGCAGCGGGAGAGGCCCAGGCATGGGAAGCCGCGGGCAGCTTCCACGGAGGCTTCAGCAGTGGGCTTCGAGGTCGTGGGCGTGGGCCGGGGCCGAGACCACGGAGCTCAAGGCAGTAAGGCTGAGGACAAAGAGTGCATTCCTGTCACCAAGCTGGGCTGGCTGGTCAAAGACATGAAGATCAAGTCCCTGGAGGAAATTTACCTTTTTTCCTTACCCATCAAGGAGTCTGAGATTATTGACTTTTTCCTGGGCACATCCGTCAAGAATGAAATTCTGAAGATTATGCCTGTGCAGAAGCGAACTTGTGCTGGCAGGTGGACCAGATTCAAGGCATTTGTCGCCACTGGGGACTACACCAGTCATGTTGGCTTGGGTGTAAAGTATTCCAAGGAAGTAGCCGCTGCTTCCAAGGAAGATAGCCTGGCCTATCTCTCATTGTCCTCATGAGGAGTGGCTACTGGGAAACAAGATCGGCAAGTCCCACACTGTTCCTTGCAAGGTGGCTGGCCACTATGGCTCTGTGTTGGTGCGTCTGATCCCTGCCCCCAGAGGCACTGGCATTGTCTCAGCCCCTTTGCCCAAGAAGCTGCTACTAAAGGCTGGTATTGACGACTGGTACACCTCTGCTAGGGACTGCACTGCTACTTTGGGCAACTTTGCTAAGGTCACCTTTGATGCCATCTCCAAGACCTACAGCTGTCTGACCCCTGACCTCTGGAAGGAGATTGTGTTCACCAAGTCTCCCTATCAGGGATTCACCAACCATCTTGTGAAAACCCACACCAGAGTCTCTGTCCAGAGGACCCAAGCTCCAGCAGTGGCTACAACATAAAGGGTTTTTACACAAGAAAAATAAAGTGAATTAAGTCTGTCAAAAAAAAATTATGCTTTATAAAAATTCCTGAAGGATGAAGTTCAGAGAGTGCTGGGGTAGTGAACACGTTCACACATGAGAGGGTGACCCATCCAACTCCATGTGCTCTACATGAACTACATTCCCAGTTGTGGGTGACTAAGCTACATGATCAGCCACAAAACCCTCAGCTTTGACCTTCCCCAGGGGTGGGGAAGAGGTAGAAGGCTGCCCTCTCCCTATTTCATTCCTCACTACATCCCCTAGGTCAGTTTGCACCCAGTTGCTATGCCCAGCCCTTTTTACTTTGAGACAGTGCCTTCACAAATTGTCCAGCAGGGACTTGAACGTGTGATCTTGCCTCAGGCTTCCCCAGTGTTGAGATTACAGGTGCCTCTGTGCCTGGCTACTTATTTCCTAGTTTTGACTTAGTTTAAATGTTATTCTCAATATCACACAGCATTTTATTAGAGCCAGGACAGGAACTTATGTATTTTGCGTTCATATTCACTGATATTTACAGTATGACATATTGTCCATTTTTTTCATCACTACTAATACAAATGTAACAATGGAGGAAACAATAGTTTCATAATGCTGTGATTTTTATTCCTGAATTTTTTTTGAAAACAGAATGAGAATGGAGAAGCATTTCTGTAGAAACTGACCTAGAGGTACTTTTAGAGCAGATACTTTAATCTCTCTCAAATAATTTCACTTTTACCCATCATGTCATAATCTTTCTTGTGCCTGCAAATGACCAGACCAAGGTTTCTGGGAAGATGTAGATAGAAACTATCATGAAATAGAAAGGGCCTGGGTAGGGTGGGATGAGATCAGTGAAAAATTCTGAGATTCCTGCATCCATGAATATTCAGGATAAAACTGAAAGGTAAATTGACTTTGCAAAAATAAAAATATATTTTCAGATTTGTAATGTTTTGGCTCATCATGCCTGTTAGGCTCCAATGGAAGTGACACTCCTGCCCCCAGCCTGCTTGCCAGCAGCAGCACTGTTCTCTGCGGAGAATTCAGCTCAGCACCAGAGACTTTCGTGGGCAACCACAGGATGTTGTGGAGGAGATAAGATAGGGACTCCTGCAGCTCCTGGGACATCCGGGGTTATCTAGGGACACTTAAGAACTTATACTGGGCACTTTAAGGACTCTGCCCGCTGATGTGCAAGACATCCAGAAAACTTTCGTTTTTGGTACAGGGATTGAACTCAGGACCTTGCGCTTGCCAGGCAAGGGCTTATGTCACTGAGCTATCTCCCTGGCCCTCCAGAGAACTTTGACCGCAAGTGTTTATTGGGATCTTCCCATCTGAAGTCCTTGACCTTCTTCTGTCCACCCCTGTGTACAGAGAAGGTCTTAACACTCTCTGCCTGCCTGCACCCAGGCACAATAAACGCCAAGTCTTATTGCCCTGATTCAAGCCTGGTGGTCTCTGCTGGTTTCCTTCCAAGCCCACAGGTTGCATACATAATTCCCTCAGGAAATTATGTATGTAATTTCCTGTCTTGACAAAGTTTGGCCCATGGGATCCCACTTTTCCTTGCTTGTCTCCTTCCTAAGGCTTCTCATTCACTTTTAATTGATGCTGCAAATTCTCTTCTATCTACAAATATTGGCATGTGCTAGGCTCTGTTCTTAAACTTCATACTGTATCTTAATTTCTTTGGTCATCTCATTTAGTCTTCTGCTTTGGCATACTCAAATTTATTTCCAGTTCTTGTGTCTTCTTTCTGAAATTAGCAAATTTAATATCCAGCTGTTTCCATTTAGATGTTTAACAGTCATCTAAAAATTGTGTAGAATTTTAAAAATATATTTATTACAGTGTCTACAGGGTCTCACTACTAGATCAAACTCATAGTGCTCCTCCTGTTTTAAGCCTCCCAAGCACTGGGATTACAGGCGTGTGCCACCATGCCCAGTCTCAGTTACCGTCTCAGCTCACCCTGAGGGTGGGGCTGGCATGGCACACCAGGGATCAAACTCTGGCTGCTACATTCTGCCTAAGCAGGCACTTTAGTGTACTGAAGTATCTGACTGACCCTTAAAAGTTGATATATGCCAAGTTAAACTCTTTTTTTCCTACCCTGTACCTCCTCTTTAACCTTGTTCATGCCAGTACATGGCAGCTGTAATCACTCAGCTTTTCAGATGAGAAAATAGTGATGAACATTGACTCCACTCTCTTACTCCCATATCCACCTATCAGCAAATTCTTCTCTGTGCTATGGTTTGAAAATGGGTAGTGCCCACCAAGGTTCATGCATAAAGCCTTGGTCCTTAGTGTGGCACTACTGGGAGGTGCTGTGGACTTTTAAGTAATGCCTTATAAGAAATCTTTACATCATTGGGAGTATGCCCTAAAAGGCTACCAGAGATCCCTGCAGTGGGCTCCAAACTCCTGCCAGGTGTTATGATGCACAGCAAGAAGAAAGAGTAAGAAACAAAATAGTGGTGCAGTGTAAGTCCCGCTCACTGCACAAGGTCCTGAGTTTGATCTCCAGTACTGTAAAAAACAAAACAAAGCAAAAAAACAAACAAAACTGGTGCAGCAGGAATCTAGGAAGATCAGTTGTTCTAGGGAATGAAACACCAGGAGGCAGGCAGAACCTTGATATTTATTGATTACATCGGTATCAACGCTAATGTGTGAAGGGCAGTGTGTGTTTCCAGGAACAGTAATGGGGAGTAT